CCCAAATTTTAATGAGGTCACAGCTTCTGCTCTCCACGGCTCATACCCTTAGTGATCTCTAAAAGATCTGCTTCCCTACACGTCTGCATGGCTGCCCACCTGCTCCTCAGCACTTCATGTCTGACTGCACTCTTGGCTTGCTACGCTCTACTAATTCCTTACAGGAGGCCCGTCTAGTCCATTAAACCCAAAGGTACTCAAAGGCCAAGAATCGGTTCATTCATTCACTAAATATTGGCAGTTTGATGCTGGTATGAGAAGAGAAAAAACTATTTTCCCCCTATCTTTCCAAGCTCTTGGCTAGGGCTCCTGAAAAAAAAAAAAAAAAAAAAAAAACAGACAGACTAGTAAGAGAAAAACAAACATAAGTACACCTCACATATGCATGGGAGATCTCCAGGGAGTAACTGATTCCCAGACAGGTGGCTTTGAACTCAGGCTTATACAGCAATCTCAACAAAGAATAAAAAAAAATTGCAGAGAAGTGATGACAAAAGAAAAGGACCTTGAATCTCACAGCAGTTAAATTGTGATTAGGCAAACACATGGGAAACCAATGGTAGAAAAAGGTTAGTGAGTAACGTCTATTATATAAATTTCTCTGACAAATGAGGATTTATGGTCTCAGATCCGTGACTCACTTCTGTCCTTATTTGTAGAGAAGGAGGGACTTTTTTTTGTACATTTGTCTTGATTTTAGACAACCAGAGGAAAGGCAGGGAGCTTTTCTTGTTTCTCCTTCTCAATTGCTTCAGCTCAAAATAATGTTCATGCAAAGGCGGATGCTGGAGTGGCCATTCTGCTTCCCTGCACAGGTAGAAGAAACAAACAGATCTTACATGGACACGTTGAAACCTTTGTCCAACAAGAACCCTGCACCTCTGTGAGATGCTGTTGAGTAAGTTCTTCCTGCTTTAGTTCACCTACAGCATTAGAATGATCCAGAAGGATTCATGGATACCTGCTGGGCTATTTCTTACCTTATAGTTGGTCCAAATGAATGCACTGAAACAGTGGTAAAAGCAGGAGTCTGCTGCAATTTGTGAAGTTTCTGGAAGCTTCTGAATTTATGACTCCCATGAACCATATAGACTACTGAGCCACAGGGAACAGATGAACAGATAGAGGTCGTGACAGACACAGAAACACTTGCTGTCTTTTCCAGCCTAACTACCCCAAAACTAGTGTTCAGAAGGAAGTCACATGAGCAACGCCAAACACCTCACCTAGCTGTCAGGACCACATACAAGATGTCAATCATGGCGCGAGGTTGTGAGTTTGATTCCCAGTACCAGAAAAAAAAAAGATGTCAATCATGGATTTGTCCCATTCCTCACTGGTGTTTCTCAAAGACAGACTTTAAGACACAAAAGAAAACAGTATGGTTGTGATCAAATATACAAGTGGTGGAAAAGCTGAACAGTTAATAACCTTGTTTATTGCAGCATAATAAAACAGGTTCTAGCCTGGGCAACTTAGCAAGACTCCACCTCAAAGTTTATAAATAAATAAATAAACCACAGGCAAAAGATACAGCTCAGTGATAGGAGAATTGTCTAACACACGTGAGGCTCTGGGTTGGATCCTCAGTACCAAAATAATTATCACCTAATTAATTTAAAATTATAAATAAATTTAAAAAGAAAACCAATGTCTTCATACAGCTGAATACATAAGAATTCTCTCAAATGTCTGGGGTAGTATGCCTGAAAATATAAGATTTGGGAGCTGAGAATTTTCTGTAATGAGAAGTATGAGTCAACGAATTTGATAACTAAACAGGACAGGAAGGCGGCAGCTGAGCCAGTCCCAAAGCCACATACAGTCTCTGCTCTGTGTTTAGTTTTCAGGTAGGAGCACCATGGGAACAAAGGAAGATTTTATAGATTCCTCATGTATGAAACCAGGTACAGGTTAGGAAATCTCATCCTAAGAAATACATTAAGAAAAAAAACAAAACAGAAAAACCACAGGCAAAGGGATGGAGCCAACATTTAACTTTTAATGAGCTCCCTGAATTAAGACTTCAGAGTATAATTAAGAAACTTCTTGACATGACATTTAAAAAGTACTCAAGGGATCCTCACATTTATTGTTTAAAACATTCCACGTACAGTTCTATGTGCCTTATATATATGAACTCATTTCATCCTCTTAACAACTGTATGAGGTAGTACCATTGTTTGTATCTATGGATGGAGATACTCAGGCCTAGAGACCCAACTCACCTGCCCAAGGTCAAAAGCCAGCTGCGGTTCAAACCTAGCCAGGTTGACTTTAGACTGCACAGGCTACTATGAAGTAATGGCCTTGTACACAAAAAGACTGTGTACCAGAAAAATTAAAAAAAACTAAGGCAAACTTGCACCAGAGTATCTGCTTCAGAGGAAGAAAAAGAGGCAGGACAAGGGCCAGGAATGCCCAGGAAATGATGTGATGTTAGCACCACACATCATTTCAGAATCTCCTGGATGATATTCACAACTTGGCCGCGCGGAAGCAAAATAGCTGTGAGGATTGTTTTAATGCGGGTTGCCCAGAACATCAGCTGTGATTCCATGGCCAAGCTCTAGAGCCAGCGTGGACAAACTACAGCGCAGCGATTTCTTAGCAGACGATATCAGTCAGCTGTTCATCTGTCCCGCCTCCTACACAGAAGACAGTGTGGTCTTGCTGTCTGAGAAACATGCATAATAATCCTAGTTTCATTACTTAACCAGGTGCTTACAGACGAGGACCCAAAAACACACATAAGAGGAAAGAGAGCCTCTTTAACAAATGGTGCTGGGGGGCTGGGGATTTAGCTCAGCGACACAGCGCCTGCCTGGCAAGCGCAAGGTCGTGAGTTCAATTTGTAGTACCAGGAAAAAAAAAATGGTGCTGGGAAAACTGGCAATCCACATGCAGAAGACTGAATCTAGCTAGACCCGTGTCTCTCACCATGTACTAAACCAAAGTCAAAATGAGTCAAAGATCTAAATGTTAAAACACACTTCATTTGCTGGAAAATAAAATAGGTAAAACTCTTAAAGACATAGGTAAAGGCAAGGACTTCCTAAACAGAATCCCGAATGCACAACAAATAGTACCAAGAATCAACAAATAGGATTGTATTAAATTAAAAAGCTTCTGCACACCAAAGGAAACCACTAACAGAGAAAAGACAACCTCCAGACTGAGATATTTAGAGAACTCAAAAAGATTAGATTCTCCCCTAAAATAAAAGATGCGATCAAAATATGGGTCACTGAAATGAACAGACACTTCTCAGAAGAAACACAAACGGCCAATAAATACAGGAATGTTCAACATCTCTGGCCATTAGAAAAATGCAAATTAAAACAACACTGAGATTTTTATCTTACACCAGAAAGAATAGCTATTGTCAAAAAACCAAATAATAACAAATGCTGGTGAGGCGTGTGGGGAAAAAGGAACACTTCCACATTGTTAGTGGGAATGTAAACTACTACAGCTACTATGGAAATCAGTGTGGAGATTCCTGGAAAAACTAAAAACAGAAATTCCATTTGACCCAGCTATTCCCCTTCCGGGTATCTTCCCAACAGAAGTAAAGATGATCACATTGCAGTTATCCACGCACCCCCAAGCTAAGGCAGCACAACTCATAACACCCAAGTCTTGGAAGCAGCCTAGGTCACCAACAGATGCATGGATTAAAAAAAAGTGGTCCTTATACACGACGAGCACCACCGTGCCATAAAGGGCAAACCCGAGTCATCCGTAAGGAAATGGAGGCATCTTGAGATGACAGTGTTAAGTGACATAAATCAGACACACCAGCTTAAATACTGCCATTATAGGAGAAACCCAAAATATAAATAAAGACCAAGGTAAAAGAGCAAAACAGGGCACCAGGAGGTGGGGCTTTCGCATCAATGAAGGGAGCAAGAGATGAGAAGCGCAGGGTAAACTCTCGAAGGTGAAGGGGCTGGAGAGGAATGGAGATGCTGTTCTGTCCATGCACCAACTCCCACCCCACGGAGAATGCGATCATTACGCGCTACAAACATGGACTGAAAATAAAAACAGAAAAACAAATGCAGGAGTATCCCTTAGGGCTGTGTAAAGACTAAATGCAGCAAATATGTAAAAAGTATAGCGCAGAGTAATGTATACTATTTAACAAATGTTACTTCCATCTCTTTACATGAGTAGCACACATCTTCCCCCCTCCCCCGCCCATACCAGGAATCCAACTCACAACCTTGTGCTTGCCAGGCAGGTGCTGTGCCGCTGAGCTAAATCCCCAGCCCCAGTATCATACATCTTAAAAGACCTTAAACCCATAAAAGGAATATGATAGTGAGAAAACCTGAAAAATTCTTACATGTAACAATAAAAAGCTCTAAATGAAAATACCTTGCAGTATGGAGTTTTTCAGATGCTTGGCTAAAACTCAGTGTAGTGCTGTCAAAGTTCACATTTTGTTCTCAAACACTTTAGAGATCCATCTTTTATTCAAAAAACAGCTTAGTAATTCAACAGGCGTTACAAACAAGACTCAGAGGTTGTACCACTGAGGACCGGCATGGAGACTGAAATCCCTGCCACTTGAATACCAGGGCCATTAATAAATTTTTTTTCTCGGGGCTAGGGATTTAGCTCAGTGGCAAAAGCGCCTGCCTGGCAAGCGCAAGGTCACGAGTTCGGTTCCCGGTACCGGAGAAAAAGCAAAAAAAAAAAAAAATTTTTTTTCTCTTTCACAACCAATATTCATGATGCAAAAATGAAAACTCCAAAAGCTTGGTAGAGATAAAGTGTTTCCACAAACTATATAAAATCTTGAAATACCTCAAGAAGATGAAAAGAATTTCAAATGAGATTGTGATGTTTGCTTCAGGTTTAGTGCACTGTTCCTTTTAAATAACAACTTAATACATCTTCATGCATGAAAAATTGTCGATCCCACTCACAGAACGAACTTCAGAAGTAACCTATTTTTCTTTGATGAAATCAGCAATAAACCAGCAAGCCTGTCAGAGTCATTTCAATCTAATATTTTATTCAGAAGATAAAATTATGTAGACCATTTGTCAACAATATACTTTTTTTATAATTACTAAGAAAAAAAAGACAAACCATTGTGTGATTCCATTTATATGAAATGTTAAACCAGCAAAACTTGCAACAGAAATTAAATCGCCATTGGTCAGGGCCCAGGAGGGAAGAGATGGACTACAAAGGGACCACGAGAGGGCTGGGAGAAATAGGCAGACTTTCTGTCTTGATTATGGTGGAAGGTCACAAACTGTCCACTGCAAAACTCACTAGACTCTATACTGCAAATTGGAGAATTGTATTATGTAAAAACTCTACCTCAACATTAAAAAAAGATTATACATAATAAATCAGCATGGTTTTCAAAGTATCCTTTCAGTCAAAACATTTCACTCAGTAGGCCCAGAGTGTAGCTCCGTGGTGGAGTGCTCGTCTGGCATGAACAAGGCCCTGGGATTCCACCCCCAGCCTCACGAAAGAAAAAATTTTTAACTCAGTAGAAAAATATTTACTTGTAGAAAATCTGTAAATAATATATAAATACTTTTTCACAATTATAAGCAGTGTTTCTAAGAACTTTTAATTTTGTTCTAGAAAAATTAGCAAAACTAAGAAGTACTTGAAAAGTAATCCTGAGTGCAATTCTCCAAAGCAGCTGCATAACCTCACTACCAGGAGGCCGTCCTTGGCAGCCACTGGGAACCTGCTCCGCAATCTCACATTACACCAGGCCCAAGTGCAAGTCATCGGGGGCCATTAAATGACAGCGTGGAGGAAGCGTCCTGTGGTCACCCGGAGACTGGCAAAAGTCCGCCACCACCACCACCTGGCGTACCTTAGACTACCAACAGCTTCTGATATTCAGGGAAGCAGAAATCTGGACTCTGACATAAAATTTTCTGGGTTTGTTTGTTTGTATCAAACAAAACACATGCATGGGCAAGATTACAACCTGTGGCCCACAGTGATGTCAGAACTTCTCAACAGCTTAACCAGACCTCCGTTCTAACTGCTTACTTGTTTAACTGCGGTCTAGAATACCGTATTGGGTATTGATACCACAGAAGTAAAGTCTGTCTCACAATTACATGAAGGCTGGTCATTTCCGATCAGTACTAGAAGCCCAGGTTCTTCTAGGGAAAAGGGAAAAGGGAAAATGAGGAAGGGTGCAGAAGCGCCACGTGCCACACAGCAAGAAGCGCGGCTTTCAGGTCACTTCAGCATCCAGACTCCAGGGCAACGAAATAATCCACATGCTGAAATTTGAGGACTTCGTTGCCCCAACTGGTCCAACCCGGCTGTAAATTTCGAGCAAACAATTCCAAACATTCCCCGCCGGGTTTGATGTAGTCTTTTAGAACCTCTGTTGAAAAAAGAGAAAAAAACACTATCAGGAAAGAAATCCATTCCTTTTTAGCACATAAGAGTAGAAGAAGAGGAACATTTTGCTTTTTAAAAGCAAGCTAATATGAAGGATTTTATCACAGGCTTTGCTGTTTATAGTCAGAAAACAATTTGAAATAAGCATCCTTGAGATGAGGAGCAATACCTTCAGAACTTTCCGCAGTCCTACTTACTGGCTTCCATCTATAAACAAGAAGTTTTTAATCACCACATAGGTGACTCTCCAGTTTCCCAATCCTACCACCATCTCCTGAGAACTTACTTCATAAATCTAATCCATGCGCAAAAAGAGAACTCCACAGAAACAACACAGAGACATTACTCTTTAAAAACAGATAAAACATGTTTCTTTGTCATATATACTCTGGTGAAAGGAAAATATAGAGATATGCAGAAAAAATAATTAACTATAGCCCCTTCAGCTATAACTTCATAGTATTAAAAACATTCCCTCATGTTCACATTCCAGATCTTTCTTTACCTAAAATTTTGCTGTATTATTTCCACAGTTAGGTAGTCCTTATTTACATACTAACAACTATTACATGGAAAATTATATTTTGTTGGGGAAAGGTATCTCACATGTATGTTGGCTAAACAGCTGACCTAATATCCTATAATCCAACTACATTAAATGAAAGAATACCACAGAGGCTTTTATAAAAACACAACTGACATGGATGACAAATACTAAGACAGCCTAACTTTGATCATATCCCTGGTTAGCTATTTTAACCACGTATCAGGAACTGAGTATAAAAATAGTAATTCAGAAAAGTACAGCACTAGAACAGCCAAAATACAGTCCGTAATTGCTACGTAAGGTTGAGTTTAGTGGAAACCTATCAAATTCCCTCTAGGAATGACAGGGCTTCCTTGGGAATTACTGGTTCAGGCAAGGTCTGGACGTCCATATAGCCCATATTTTAGGTTTCATAATGCTCTTCAATCGCCCTCACAGCAAAACACTTGCCAATTTGTCCAAAAGCAGTGGTTCTGTTTATCAAACTTCAGGAAGCCTAGAAGTTTTTATTGTTATAATCCAACTAAACTCAAATTTGGGCTCTGATAGGTTCTAGGAGTCACTGGCATGAAGGAACTCTCATCCTTTCAGAAGGACAGAAGATACAATTAAATGCTACTAAACTAGAAGGGAAAGATTTCTCCACATCTCTTCCATCCTCTTCCCATAAACTTAAAGCCTTACCAGCCTCCACTCGCCTTCACTGTGTTCTAAGGTATGGAGGGAAGACTTTCCTTTTATTCAAGTGCTCGGATTTTTGAAACAAAGACGTGAAAGGAATTTTACACGGGAGTGAGTCAGCCAGACATGCTTACTCTTCTGCACCCGTTACAACCAGTGCTAAGGGACTGGGAGAAAAAGAATCACATGTGTGATAAGAGCTTACAATCGGAGGCAGAGGGATGGCCAGGTACACAGCACCTAAACCCGTTAATCACCACCCTTTCTCAATGTCATGTATTTTACATGTTTATTTTTTTCTTCATAGTTGAAAAAAACTAAATACTACTTTTATAACATTAACATTTGTTTTATTTCAAAATGGTGAAAAAGTAAAGGCTAATTAAGCCAGGCATAGTGGTGCCCACTTGTAAAACTAGCACTCTGGGAGGCTGAGGCAGGAGATCACAAGTTTAAACTCAGCCTGGGTAACTTAGGGAGACCCTGTCTCAAAATAAAAACAGGCTGAGGATGCAGCTTAGTGCAAAGCCCCTGGGTTCAATCCCCAGTGAAAAAGAAAGAAAGAGAGGGGGTGAGGAGGGAGGGAAAGAAGACAGACAGACATACTATTCCTATCAATTTAAAGTAACCAAATAGTAAGTAAATAAAATAGCAACCTATAAATCAATACAAATGCATACATTTAACCACACATGATACACATATAGCCAGACAATTACATAACACCCGGCATTAGCAAAACATCTAACTACAGAAAGGGAACAATCGATGTGCAGCCACGGGTTCCTTTTGCTCTGGAAGAATGGAGCAGGAGAAGAGGCGAAATGGCCCAGACATCAATGCATAAAATCTTATCAGCTACATTTCATGCTTCAGCTAGAAACCGTCAGCAAATAAAGTGGAAAAGGGAATGGAAAAATCTCTAATGTAAAATAAAAGAATCCAATTTTTTATTCAAATACTTTTATTTCATAATTTTCCTATCTTAAATCCTTAAACTGAATAGCTTCAGCTAGAAACCGTCAGCAAATAAAGTGGAAAAGGGAATGGAAAAATCTCTAATGTAAAATAAAAGAATCCAATTTTTTATTCAAATACTTTTATTTCATAATTTTCCTATCTTAAATCCTTAAACTGAATATGCATTTATAACGTTAGACTGTAAACCACAGCTACTGATGCTTTATCTTTTAATCTACAGGAGGAAACTTTATAAACTGTGTTGGGTTGTATTATTTTTCTTCTATTTTGCAACAAAATTAACAAATTAAACTTTTAAAAAAATCTTGGTGTTTATAACAAGCCAAAGAAAACATTTCATTTTATGAATACTACATAAGCAGTTTGAGAACACTTACAGGTAAAAGTTCTAAGCACTATATCTGAAGCATGTATTAAACAAATCCCTAGTTACAATTTCAGGATTAAAATATGCATAGAAATCTGAAAGTTGTCCAATGGCTTTAATTTATATTACTCTAGACCTAAAATACATACAAGAATATGGACTCAAAAATGTATTGCAAATACTTCTTGTCTATCATTATTTAACCAACATATACAGTGAGTTATTCAGATTTTTTCCTCTAAAATACAATTTTGTTTTTAAATGTGCCTAATTCTAAAAATGTGTTTGTGCTGCTCTCTTCTGGGAGATGGAAGAACTGCGTGTCATCCCGAGCAGGCCATGTTCTTTCAGGGGAAGACAAATTCTTACTATTTTTAAAACTTTTGTCTTAAGGATTATCTTTAAGAGCTGGGCACGGTGAACGGGCCTGTAATCCAGCACTTGGGAGGCTGAAGCAGGAGGATCGTTGCTAGTTCAAGACCAGCCTGAACTGCATAGCAAGAATCTGTCTCAAAAAGACAAAAAAGAAAAAAAAAAAAAAATTATCTTTAAATACAATTTCATTCTATTTTAAAGAAATTGGTAAACAGCCAAACTGTCACTTAATAATAAAAGATGTGGGTTCTTAGGTTTTTTTGTTTTCTTTTGTTTTTGAGACAGGGTTTTGCTGTTCCGGCTTGCCTCAAACTCACAGCAATCCTTCTGCCTCAGGTTCCAGCATGCTGGGATTACATGGGTGCTATCACACCCATCTATTTTTGGATTTTTTTAAGTAAAATATAAACCTTGAAACAAACACCAACTTAAGTTTTAGAACTCATCAAATGAAAGAGAAAATTCAAACAGATTAGATTTCTCTGTATAATTGATGTCACATTCAGTATTTTTTTTTCCTAAAAGAACAGTATGGTCTCACTTTTCACACAAGTCAAAAATTTAACACATGAAATTATTCATGAATTAAAAATCTAAAGGTTATTCACGGAGAATCTCTGTGAGTCAAAGAATATATGCTCATGTGGACATCTGAAGATTTCTAATTCAAGAATTGTACAAAAGATGCCTTTGTGTAAGTAATTTAAGATAACACAAGTCCAGAGTGCTACCAAAATATCTCTCCTGAAAAACCTATTTTCTTATACTTTCTAGCTCATTAACTATCCCATATTCTACAAAAATAAGACGATAAACTGCCTGTAGTTTTCCTGAATGGGGCCTTTCGTAAGTGTTTTGGTTTCATTTTTAAGTAGGAATCATCAAATAATAAAATATATTCTTGAGGAAATTCTCTGAAAAGTAAACTTTAAGTATCAAATTCAGAATCCCTCAAGGACTCACACAGCAGGGAAAGTGGGAAGGAAGAAAAAAGCATGAACACAACAAAACAAAGGAAAACAAAAAAGTGTTCACGCTGAAGAATAAGACGGTAAGTTTTTACGCTGTCACCTGGGGGAACTCTGGGGAAGATGGCAAAGTGGGAGCAGTGGTAAATCAGCCTGTCCGAGGCTGGGGACCAGACACCTCAGTACAGCAACTTGGGGAAGAGAAGAAAGAGGGCGCTGATCCCCAGGACAAGGGAAAGTTCTGAAGGGAACTTGGAGCCCAAGGGGAGAGCGAGGCAACGGACATCAAGGCAGAAGACAGAGGTGGCGAACTGCTTTCTCCCTGACTGCCAGCTTGCAGTGTGAGAGGGGGCTCAAACCTACAAAGGTACGGTGACAGCAGGGGACCCTGGAGGCCTCCACTGAGACCACACCAGTGCAGCAGAGCAGTGGGACTGCAGCGGCCGGTGAGTGACTCCACTGCAAACGTCCCCAGGAGAGGGTGATTGGCTGGACACCACTTTGGGGTGGGGCCAGCAGAACCCAGCGCTCGGAGCAGCCGTGGACTGTGGACTGGCTCTGTCTCAGGCCTACCAGTGTCTGGGTGAGAGATGCCCGGGGCCAGGGAGCTGAGATTAAGACAGCAAGAAACACCCACAGTGTTGTGGGCTGCAAAACTGAGATCACGAAGCCACAGGCAGAGACCAGGCCCAGCTTGCACTGCAGAGTGGAACCACAGCCCACCCTACCCCAGCATAGCCTTGTGGGGAGGATACGGAACGCTGCCCCGTCACACTGCGGGCTTGCGGTCTGGGTTCCGTCTGCCTCCTTTGTCTACTGGTGACAGCAGAGACATGTCCTGAAGCGGACGCCACCACAAAACTGTAGACCCCAGAAGATAACCACAGGCTTGAAATCACTCGCATTTTTGGCTTCGTTTTTTTGTTTTGTTTTGATGCTAGTTTTTGTTTACTGCCTTATTCTTCAGTGTGAACACTTTTTTTCCTTTGTTTTGTTTTGTTCATGCTTTTTTCTTCCTTCCTACTTTCCCTCCTATCTTCTTCACCAGCTTCCAGAGCTTAGGTCATCTTCCTTTGTCCTTCAACCTTGCTTCTCATCTCTTCTTCCTCTATTTCTCAATTTTTTCCTGTCCCTTTTAAATTTTCTCACAAGAGGGCAGAATCATCAACTGAGGGTATCTTTACTGCATGGAAGTTTGTGCCGTGCTTTACATCTTATTATATAACTACAAATCTTGTTCATATGGTTAAAAGTGGCAAATTAATAGTTACCAGTTTGCCATTTCCTAGGCTGTAACAGATCCTATTATTACTGACTGTACTACTCTAGCCACGGTGATGCAGTTGTTCTAATCAGTTACTCTTCCTTGTCTGCCAAAACCAAGAGTGTCTGAGGGTCATGCACGATACTACAGTCCAGTGCCAAAGACCAAGGACTTGACCAAACAGGCAGCAACTTCTCAGCCCTAATAAATTGAGAAGTCAACAAAGAAATACCAGCACTGAACCAAACCTTTGAACAAACGGCCATGGATAGCTACAGTGTGTTCCATCCCACTGCTTCAGAATACACATTCTTCTCAGCTGCACATGAGACAGTCTCCAAAACAGACCACACACTGGCCCACAGAACATGCTTAAGTAAATGCAAAGGAATCACGCATATTATCACACCATAGAGCAATGAAATTAGAAACCAATGGCAAAAGAAATCACAAAAACTGCATCAACACATGGAAATTAAATAACACCCTCCTAAAAACAAATACATCATAGGTAAAATTAAAGAAGAAATTATACAATTCCTACAATTAAACATTAATCCCAATATGACATACCAGAACTTATGGGACACAACAAAAGCAGTCCTTAGAGGAAAATTTATAGCAATGAATGCCCACATCACAAAAACAGAGTGAGCTCAAATAAACAACCTAATGTTGAACCTCAAGCTACTAGAAAAAGAACAGCAAGTTAGGTTTCTTTTTTTCTTTCTTTTTTTTTTTTTTTCCTGGTACTGGGAATTGAACTCAAGACCTTGCACATGCCAGGCAGGCATTTGTGCCACCTAGCTATATACCCAGCCCAAGAACAGGAAGTTAAACGCAAAGGAAATTATAAAGATGAGAGCAGAAAGTAATGCAACTGATATTAAGAAAAAATTCAAAGAATCAATGAATCAAAGAGTTGGTTCTTTGAAAGATTAAACAAAACAGACAAACCCTTAGCCAACCTTACCAAAAAAAAAAACAGAAAGACTCAAATCCATGTAATTAGGAATGAAAAGGGTGAAATCACGATGGATCCTGCAGAAATCCAGAAGGTCATCAATACCTACTCTGAGAACCTAGACTCTAATGCATGAAAAACGCAGAAGAAATGCACAGTTCCCTGGATAAACATGAATTACCAGAGCACAGCCAACAAGATATAAAAATTCTAAATATCCCAGTATCAGTCAGTGAAACTGAAGATGCAATTAAAAACCTACCAACAAAGAAAAGCCCAAGTCCTGACAGACACTGCTGAATTCTATAAGAAATTTAGAGACGATCTAATGTCACTGGGCCTCAAACTCTTTAATGAAATTGAAAGGGAAGCAATATGCCCAAACTCATTCCTGGAAGCAAGCATTACCGTGATACCAAAACTACAGGAAGATCCAACAAAAAAAAGACAACTGCAAGCCAATCTCTCTAATAACATAGATGCAAAATTCCTCAGTAAGATACTGGCAAACAAAATTAAATCATCAAGAAGGTTATACATCATGACCATGCAGGATTCATCCCAGGGATGCAGGGATGGTTCACATATGCAATTCAATAAATGTAATACGCCATATCAACATAACCAAAGCCAAAAACCACCTAATCATCTCAATAGATGCAGAAAAAACATTTGACAATGTCCAACACCCATTCGTGATAAAAAAAACCTACAGAAAATTAGAATAAATGGTCTTTATCTCAATCTGATAATAGCCGTCTATGACAGACCAACAGCTAATATCATACTAAATGGTCAAAAACTGAAAGCTTTCACTCTAAAATCAAGAACAAGACAAGGATGTCCATTATCACCACCCCTCTTCAAAATAGTCTTGGAAACATTAGCCAGAGCAATTAGACAAGAGAAAGAAAAGGAATAAGGATAAGAAGGGAAGAAGTTAAATTATCATTATGAGGATGACACGATACTCTATATAGTAGACCCCCAAACTCTACCAATTTTAGTAGCATAGCTGGATACAAAGTCAACATTCAAAAATCAATAGCATTCCTATACACAAAAAACAAAACCACTGCAAGAGAAATTAGGGAAATAATACCTTTGACAAAGGGGCTACACTTCTTTACTAGAAGAAAGAAGCCTTTTTAATAAATGGTGCTGGAAAAACTGGCCTTCCACATGCTGAAAACTAAAACTAGCCCCATATATATTACCATGCACTAAACTACAATCAAAATGGATCAAATATCTAAGTACTAAAACAGAAATACTAAATCTGTTGAACAAGATAATAGGGAGAACTACTAAAGACACAGATGTAGGCAGATTTCATGAAAAAAAACTCAACTGCACAGGAAATACTGTAAAGAATCAACAACTGGGATCTCATCTTATTTTTGCACAGCAAAAGAAATCAACAGAGTGAAGAAAGAACACAGAGTGAGAAAAATTTCCTAGCAGGACTAATATCTAGAATATATAAAGAACAAAAACAAAAAAATCAGCACCCCCTCAATTAAAAGATCCATTCCAAACAATGGGCATCTGAAATGAACAAATGAACTTCTCAGATGAAGAAATTCAAACAGCAAATAAATATATGAAAAAATGTTCAACATTACTGGTCATTCAAAAGATACAAATTAAAACAGTGCTGAGATTCCATCTCACTCCAGAATGAATGGCTATTATCAAGAAATTAGAAAAAAAAAAAAAAGAAAAGAAAAAGAAATCAGCCAATAACAAATGCTGGTGGGGCTGTGGGGAAAAAAAGAACTCTTCTCCACTGTTGGTGGGAGTGTAGACTGGTGCAACCACTGTGGAAATCAGTGTGGAGAGTCCTCTAAAAACTAGGACTAGAGTTTCCATTTGACTCAGCTTTTCCCCTTCGTGGTATCTTCCCAAAAGAATTAAAAGCATCATATTACAGTGATATATGCACACTCATGCCTATTATGACATAGTTTATAATAGCTAAATCTTAGAAACAGCCCAAATGCTCATCAATGGAAAAACAGATAAAGAAGATATGCGTTTTTTTTAATATACCATGGAGTACTTCTCTTCCATAAAGAAGGATAAACTTGAGACATTTCTAGCTAAATGGATGCACCTTGAGAACATACTCTTCTGTGAAATAGATCAGAGAACTGTTTAAATGTTGCATTGTTTCTCTCATATGAGAAACCAAAAGGGTAAATAAGAACCACAATGTAAGCCGGGCGTGGTAGCGCATGCCTGTAATCCCAGCACTCGGGAGGCTGAGGCAGGAGGATTGTTGCAAGTTCGAGACCAGCCTGGGCTACGAGGTGAGCTCAAGTCCAGCCTGAACTGCATAGTGAGACCCGGTCTCAAAAAGAAAAAAAAAAAGGTAAAAAAAAAGAACCACAATGTATAACAGATATCGGGAAGTAGGAAAAAAGGTTCAAATCAGAAGGGAATGCGGGCAGGGGAGAGGGGATGGAAGGGAACAAAGGAAAACGAAACTTATAAATAAGGGAGAGAAGAATGGATGAAGGGAGGGGAGGGGGATGGGGAAAAAAGAATCAAGTTCTATCATGTACAGGTACAAACTCCCTATGATGTGATCACTATGTACATCTAAAATGTACCAATAAAATGAATTTTAAAGAGTAAAAAACGGTCACCTGGCACAGTCAGCACTTACTGAATTTCTAATATGTGCTACTAAATTTAAGTAATTATAATTCTGAGACACTAAGTATCATCATTCCCTCCTTAAACGAGGTGGGAAAATATTCGAGCGCCTGCCTAGGGAGTACAGGCAGCTTCCACACTCACGACAGCCAGGCTCCAGAGCCAACTCTCCGCCACCCCGCTCAGGTTTCCCTCAACGGTGAGCAGACGCCGGGCACTGAGACAAGCGAGCACTGCGGCAGGGGCCGCCCGCGCAGCATTCAGAACAGCAGCGTTTCCTCTTAAAAGGTACAAAACTGAGGGTTTCTACCAAACGTCAAGGGAATGCCAACCCTCACTCTCAGTAACTGTCGTGAGATCTGGTCTGAGAACAAGCAAGGGATCTGCCTGCTCTGAAACCAGCAACTGGTAGCAAAACCTACAGAATAAAGCCTAGTGAATAAAGATAGTAAATTCCATTTGAAAGAATGACTTGGAATTATAAGCCACGATGCTATTTTCCCTTTCAAATAGCATCTGATTTTTTAAAACAAATTGAAAGCGTGACTGCACAGAGGAAATCAGTAACTGAGGCAGCACATCCTCCGGGGCCCCGTCGGTCTCCATTCAGTCCCTCGGTGACTGGGCGCGGCCAGTACAAAGGGGACCCGGGAAAAGCCGAGGGAATCGAAAGCTAACCTAGTCGCTACTGCGTAATTCTGCCATCAATTCTGCTATAAAATTTTAGAATATTAAAATACACATATCTGACTTAATTTTCAAATTTATCCACCAAATACTAAAATCATCCTTTTCAAAGTTTTTCAAGTCATGACAACTGTATTTTAGAAGGACATACCAGCAAGAGGCGGCTTATGTGAATGAAGGACACAGGGCACGCTGACAATTAACTTATGGTCCGGAATAGGTGGCATTGTTACATCTGTGCTCCTAAGGCAAACAGAACAAGACAGTAAATTATATTTGAAAGAATGACTTTGAATTATAAGCTATAATAATATTTTTTCTTTTCAAATAGTATCTGATTTTTTGTTTGTTTGTTTGTTTGAGACAGGGTCTTGGTATATAGTTCAGGTTGGCCCTAAACTCACTATATAGCCCAGGGTGCCTCAAACTCATAGCGATCCTCCTGCCTCAGCTTCCCAAGTGCTGGCATTACAGGTGTATGCCACCATGCTGAGCAGTATCTGTTTTTTTTTAATCAGATTTTATTGGTACATTTTAGATGTACATTAATGATCACATTCATCATAGAGAATGTGTAACTGTACATGATATAACTTGGGGTTTTTTTCCCAATTTTTTATCCTCCCTTCAACCTTTCCTCCCCTCCCTACTTATAAAAGCTTTGTTGCTGTTTTCCTTCTTTTCTAACTTTTCCCTTCTTTTCTTCCCCCGACTCCTATTCCCCTACCAAAGTATCTGATTTTTAACCCAAATTCAAAGACTGACTCAATGAAGGCAATCAGTAATTTAATTTTTTTTTTTTTTATTTTTTTGGTTTTTCTCCGGTACCGGGAACCGAACTCACGACCTTGCGCTTGCCAAGCAGGCGCTTTTGCCGCTGAGCTAAATCCCCAGCCCCCGCAATCAGTAATTTAAGAATTGAGACCTCTCCTATGTTAGAGATGGCGAGCCTCTGAGTTTTCAATGATGCAAAGAGCCCACAGTGGCACGCGTGGCACCATGCCCTAGGGTTCTGCTTTCCACAGTAATGACAATCACAGACTAGATAAAGTAAAGGATAAAATTGCATTTGTCATGCAATTTATACTTTTCTGCTCTTTGGGATTATCAAAAAATGTGAAAATTAAGAAAAAGCAGTGATCACTGTGTTAATTTTAATACATTAATATAACTTTGGGAAATCACTCTTCTTACCTCAATGGTAAAGTGGCTTTTGCTTGAACTCTTCCCAGTATAAGACCTTCGTAAGGCTTTTTGTGTGGAGAATCTAAAGGGAACACATACTCTCCCGCACTTGTGATCTGATGGAAAGAGAGATCACCAATCACTGTATAGTTTCCATTCCCCACAAAAAAGAAATGATTACACTTCCAGGCTAGTGTTGTTCAATAAAAACATAATAGAACCCACAAATGCGAGCTACGTAACTATTTTTAAATCTTCTATTATTCACATTTTTTAAAATATCACTTTACTAACGATATTAATACTAAAAATGGCAGGTGTGATGGCACACAAGTATAACCCCTGCAACACAAGAGGCTGAAGGAAGAGTATGACAAGTTCAAGGCCAACCTGGGCTACTGCAAGACCTTGCTTCAAAAATAAATACATAAGTAAAATAAATAAAAAGTGAAAGATACAGTGAAATTAACTGTACATACTTAAACAAATCCAAAATATTACTTTAATGTAGAATCAATTCCAAGAAGTTACTGAGATGTGCTACGATTTTTTTATATGGAGTTTTTAATGTCCAGGGCATGTCCCACACTGAACAGCACATCTCCATTTGGAGTAGCCCCACTTCAAGCGCTCAAGAGCCACAGCTGGTAACGATGACCATTTTAGACAAGGGAGTTAGAAAGTTTTTAAAAATGTATGATATATTTTAAATACAATTTTATTATCACCTTGCACAAAAATTTCTACTTTTTATTAAAATTTGTTCCTGAAAACAATGTCATCATTAGTTCATTTACTAACTCAGTCAAATAATATTTACTGATTACTGGCAATGCAACTAGACAGATCACAATAAAGCTTTTCTTTAGTTACAAAAACAGCGCTATTGAATACTGTCAGAGCTAAAATTAATAAACAAGCTGGGTGGTCAATAAGACACACAATACCTGACCCAGACACTGGGCATTATGAAATCAGAAGTACGATTTTATCACTTCATCCTGTGATGACCAGATTCCTCTGCATTCATTTAAGCTAATCAAATTCAAAAATGTAATTCCTGAAAACAATATAAATCCATTAATTTAGAATGGAGATATATATTTTCACTGTCAGGCTATTTGTGTCAATTATCTATGGAACCTTTTATCCTATTTTGAGGTTAATGAACAACCAAGTCAGTAATTAGAAAGTTCTTTTACCTCCCCTAAGGCCAATCAGGCAGCAACACTTACAGTAATACTGTATAAATACTGGCAAATTCTTAATCTTTGGATAGCCCTCATATTCAATGCAAATTACTCCCTTTATTATAATATGTGTAATTAGCCAGGCATGGTAGTGCACGCCTGTAATCCCGGCACTGGGGAGGCTGAGGCAGGAGGATCATCAAGGCCAGCCTGGGCTACAAAGTGAGTCCAAAGCCAGCCTAAACAGCATAGCAAGACCCTGTCTCAAAAAGACCAAAAAAAGTGTAATTATAAATGATTCAGATAGTATAGTGTATTTTTGTTTTGCACTCTGGTCTTACTATACACCATCTCTTACTGAGTACTACTACAGATGGACAGTCTAGGTTTTCATATAGTAACATTTTACTGGATTTGATTTTAGAAGGCAACCTCTTCTCGACTTTGGCACCAACAATGGGCAGGGTAGAATGGGCTACAACACTCCTTTCATGATCCTATGCCAAGTCAACCAAAATCAAGACCAAAGGATGTCATGAAAGCAGAGACACAACTCCAAGTATTTCTGTGCTAAGTCGTATGAGATAGGTATAAATAAACAATGCACACAGCTTTTAGAAGACACTCCGGTAGACTACAAAGTATATAAAAGCACATATGTCTAAAATAAATATACCAGTTATTAAACATTGCATTGATTATAACTTAGCTTATATTCTCAAAATTTAGGAGGGCTTTTATGATGTCCATGTGAATAGTCAGTATCTTTAAAAGAGTATCCAATGAACTCTGAACTGAAACTTTAGTTTTCTACATTTATGCTTTATTCTTACAGCATGTAGAGATATTACAGGTCATTCAACCAACACTAGAGTTAAAATCTGTTCTTTTAAAAACAGTTTAGCAGCGCAGAAAGCACTGAGGACCGGAGTGAAGAGCCACAGCATGAACCCTTCTCGGGTCTGCATCTCCAGCCCCTCTACACCGGCGCACGCTGATCCTCTGCCTTCCTCCCGGAAGCATGCGATACCGCAGCCACAGAGCGTGACTGGCCCTGTGGGGAAACAGAGGGGAAGAAGGCAAATGGGAAAGCAACTTGCTTTTATGCTTGGTGATGGGTTGTTTTCCCAGAGTTTCTGTCCTATTTTAATCTAGATTGCTAGAGATTGGAGTTTTCTTAAATTTCACTCCGGTGTCTCCCTGACCAGCAGTGCGGGACCCTAACACCAAAAGCAGCAGAGAACAAGGCCAGAGCCTTGAGAATAAGAAGATAAAAGTGCTGAGCAGCAAAGCGCAAGTTTTCTTAGATCCCGTGAAAGGAAAAGACTGTGGACGCGTTAAACACGCAGAGGGGACACTGTCTTCGTGCGATCGTCACGGCGCGCTGCACACTGTGGACCTGGCACCCGAACTCACCTTCACCCAGTGCCACTCAGCAAGGACCTCCACGGACCAGGCCGGGTAAAGCTCATCCTTTACAAAGCGCAGGTGCTTCTGCCTATTGGTCACCCAAGTAACAACGAGGCAGTTGGGAGCAGCCAGCTGAGGAACGGGGATCTGCTGTATTTGCAGCGGTGATAGATAACTGTACCTAAAAATAAACAGGAGAAATAGGGGCAAATTTTGTTATAAAAAAAGAAAAGTAAGCAAGGGGAAGACCCCAAAAATGCGCAGCTCCTATAGCCGTTTATGAGTGGCCAAACATGAAGCCACAGTGACACCTGGTGGACCCACTCGCACACAAACGTCAAAGATACTAGGCGAGAACTGTCAGGCTCTGTTTGCTTTTAATTGCTTCTAAACACACTTTGGAATTCATCTCATTGGGTTGATGGGGCGTTTACACTCCCTCTTCTAGTGCTAAGCCAATGAAGTCACCGGGTGAACTCCAAATATGCATCTTTATATGCTGAAAATATGCAATGAAAACTGTGCACTCTTACCTATTCATCAGAAGAAATGTGTATTTGTGAGTTTGGTTCAGGCAAGAATTTCTTATATGCAACCCACAAGCACAAGCAACAAAAGAAAACAGATAAACTGGATTATATCGAAATTTAAAATAAGGGCCTATGGGAAATAATACTGTATCAATAAAACATTGTACTGGGCAGGGGATGTAGCTCAGGGGTAAGAGAGCTTGCCTAGCATACATTAGGCCCTAGGTTTGATACTACTGGTGGGGTGGGATATACATATATATAATCAATGTTAATTACATATTTTGATAATTGCATTAGAATTACATAAGATAACATTTGTTTTTAGGAAATGTACACTGAAATATTTAAATATAACTTTCATAATTTATTCTCAAGTGATTATTTTTTATTCATACAGATACCTACACACACACACACACACAGAGAACAGATACATGAATTCTCTGTATGATTCTTACAACTTTAAAAAAAAAATACCCTCCTGCTGGCACAGCTCCCAAGCATGCAGAATAAGGAAGCTGAAGATAAATTGTTAGACAAAGAAATTTCAGATGACGTTTAAGTCAAAATAAGAATTATTTTTTTCTAGAAAATTGTAGAGTGAGAAATAAAACTTTCATTAGAACTAAAGAGGAAAATTCAACTTTAAAAACCCTATTTTAAAAAAAAACCTATTAAAAGGAAACATTGACATATAATGTTTCATAAATGAAAAATACAAAAGAATGTGAGAATGAATTAGATACATTTACCCACAACAGGTTATTAAGGAAAACCAGGGCCAGGGATGTAGCTCAGCAGCACACCACCTACCTGGCAAGAGCAAGGTACTGAGTTCAATTCCTGGTACCAAATAAAAAAAAAAAAAAAAAAAAAGGAAAACCAGAACATAGTTCTCAATTTTACAATTTAATATCAAGACAAAAATGTTGCCCTTTGGTGTTAGAAAAACAACCCTGAACTGGTCCAGGCAGTGGCTCAAGCTATGAACAAATATATGGCTGTCGATATCCACATAAAGGAATTATCTAATTAAGGAAATTAAAATTTAAAAACCAGCTGTGTGTGGTGGTACACACCTGTAATCTCAGCACTCAGGAGGCTGAGGCAGGAGGATAACCGCCAGTTCGAGGCCAATGTGGACTACAAAGTGAATTCACGGTCAGCCTGAACTGCAAAGTGAAACCCTGTCTCAAAAAGACAAATAATAATAGCAATAATAATTTAAAAACCATTTAAAACAGTATAATAAGCTGTATCATTATCTTGATAATATAGTCACCAGAATGTACAAAAGACTATAATTTTTAGGAAGTACATCTAATAGAGAATTCATTTCCACTTACCTATTACTTCTTTTAACTGATTTGTTCTGCCACGGTGGATCCATCACAATTACATCAAATGTTTTCCCACCTGAAGTCAAAGATATAATTTCAGAAGAGGCCCCCAAATGAGAATCACAAGCAAAACTAAACAAAAGACTGGGGTGATAAAGTTATGCCTAGGAGAAGAGGTTCAATCCCTAGCACTCAAAAATATGAAAATAAAAATAAACATCCTCTTTAAAACTGAAATATTTTTCCTACAGGTACAAATACACTGGCATCCATCGAAAGAACTCACAGCATTTATTCAAATACAGTAATAATTTCTCTAAAAATTGAGATTTCCCTTGTTATTTAGTAACAGACTCTCACTAAATTTCACCCAATCGCTACTTTTGCAGAGACTACTTGCAGAAGACTACAATTCACCGAGCTGCACACTAACGATTTACAGATTTCCTATAAATCTTGGCCACCATGTTAATAGTCTTTTCTCGTCTAGGTAATTTTTTTAAACATTGTTTTTATTTTTTATTTTCAAATTACTTCAGTCTTACAACTGATACATTATTCATAATAAAATTTCCCCAGTTACCTACGCATGTCCTTTTTTTCTGGTCCAGGATCCAAAACTAGGACCACACACTGTATTAAATTCCCGTAGCTTTGAAATCTCCTCTAACCAGGGGAGTTTACGCTCATCGGCTTTCATGACCTTGACATTTTTAAAGGCTATGGGTAAGTTATTTTACAGAATGTCCCCCAATTTGGTTGTGGTATTTCCTTATAATTAAATTTAGGCTGTTTTAGATAGGTGTGATGGTACACATCTATAATCCCAGCACTCTGGGAAACTGAGGCTGGAAGATTATAAATTTGTGCCAAGCCTAGGCAACTTACAAGACACTGTCTTAAAACACAAAAGGACTGAGACATAATCCAGTATCCAGCGCAAAGGCCCTGGGTTCAGTCCCGGTGGAGGGTGGGAGTGGAAAATATATATATAATATATATAATATATATTATATATGGGGGAGAGTGAGAGAGAGAGGAGAGCGGGGAGGGGGGAGAGTGGAAAGACCAAGAGAGAGGAGAGGGGAGAGAAAGAGCAAGGAGAGAGAAGAGAGTGAGAGAGATTGGTTCTGTGTGTTTTTGGCTGGAGTACCAGCAAAGCAGGAGGCAGTGGAGGGTGTCAGACATCTCACTGCCGGCGATCACTCCAAGTGCCGCTTGAGGGTCTCTCCAGTTTTCCCCCAAGAATGAACAGGTCTCCTGTGGGGTGATCCCTGAAGACAAAGGAAACGTCCTGTGCCTCATTCTATACCCGCTCTTTTGACACCCAGCTATGACTATGGTGTTTGTCAAGAAGTTTTCTAGTTCCAGCACTATCTGCTTCAATTAATTAGAATTCTACTGTAAGGAGGAGCTGTCCCTTCGCATACGCTTTTTCTGTTTGTTTGTTTTTCCTACTGTATAAGCGGCAGGCAGTCAGGTGCTGAAAGAAGCTGCTCATTCAGTCCGCTTCTCTCCAGCTGGGGAAGGACGCAGGGAAGCGGGGAGCGTGCGAAGGCCGCCCACGCTGACGACGGAGGCTGGGCCCCGGCCAGTGGGCAGAAGGCGCCTCGCAGCACAGCCAGCCCGCAGCACCTGCAAGCCCTCTGCCCACACCTGGCCTCACAGGTGCCCACTTGCTGGTTCTCTGCCCTCTTAAGATCTGAATGCCGGGGCTGGGGATTTAGCTCAGCGGCAAAGCGCCTGCCTGGCAAGCGCAAGGTCGTGAGTTC